ACATGGGGTGGGTGGGAGGATGGGGACCAAATGCATTGAATGGATGTAGTTGGCCGCTGTTAGTTGAGGTGGATAGGCCCTGGCTGCCGCACACTAGTGAGTACGGAACCACGTGAAATTAAAGACTGATATACGCCAAAGCAAATGAGAATACATGATGATAAGTTTGCAGTACGACGTAGCTAATATAGTGGTTGAGGATCCCAAGACAAATGGATAGATAGGATTCCAGTGGGGAGCGTCGCCGTGTGCTCCTATGCACTTTCGCATATGCATCGCACTAGTATAAGTTACTCCTCACTATGACCAGCTTTAGGGTACGAATCATGGTTTTGAATAGCACGCTATAACACGCCGCTAATATAGCGTTAATAAGAGAATCTGAGCTAAAAGATTTTGGGTCAATCACATGAACAAGCATTTTAAATAGTGATATAGCATTTAGAGGAGGTCCACCGTCGAGAGGCATATGTTGAAATATATTACCCGCCTCTTTTCATCAGTTCGGATTTTTGAAGCAATTGATTGAAGCATAAATTCAATACGGTATCAAAGCCAAAAGGTTAAGTTCAAGATCCTGCCGGCGTAATATAACTTTTTTGCGGGCTACATCAATCCAACATCTAAAAACTAAAATATATTACCTGCCTCTCTTCATTTGTTCGAACTTTTGGAGCAACTCGCTGGAGCATGAATTCAATAGCATAGCGGAGACCGAGCGCCAACTGCTCACCCGCGATGCCGCTTCCATCCGTATGCTTCTCGCCAATGTCGAGCACCAACTCGGCGCACTCCGGGTCCATGCCGACCCGCTCGAGGTGCCATCGTGAGCGAAGGCCAAGTGTTGCCTACTTGCCCGCACTGCCTCAATGTGGCGTTGGGCCTGCCTTCCTACGCTACTCGTTGTCGCGATGAGCACCAAGTCACCACGCTCCGGGTGAACGCAAAACCGACAAGGACGCCGACCGAGGTGAGTCACCATTGATTCCCTTCTACCACCTCCATCCTTCTCCCTCAACGATGCTTTTCCCCACGCCAAGCTCGCGTTGCTTTGTTCTTCTTAACCTCTCCATTGGCATTCAACAGGAGAAGCACCGGCCAAGGGCCAACGCTGCAAAGAAGGACGAGGATGTCGAGCTCGGTTCGCCCCTCTGCTAGATCGCACCCCATTGTCCTTCATGCTCATCCTCATCGGCGCTCAAAAGGAGAAGCACTATTGACGCTAAATAGGAGAAGCACAACTGCCTTGCGCTGAGGTGGTCTATTTGCTCTGTCAATGGGCGGGATGCTTATGTTATTGGATCATTTTGTAGCATATTTTGATTCATGGCAACCTGAATCATAGCAAGGAGGTTACTATTTTTGGGAAAAACAAAATGTAGGAAAGTTTTTTTTTGAGCATCAGTACAGACACAAGCGCTTATATACACGCGCATACCCTCACCCCTATGAACGCATACACGCACACCCTACCCTTATGAGCACCTCCGAGAGACTGAGCCGGCATATCATCTTAAGATTTACGAAGTCACCGTAGGCGCCTCGTCGTCGACGGGAATGTCTCCTCCCACTGAAAGCGCATCGCCGGAAATCCTGAAATAAATCTAGGAATAATGCGAGCACCAGAATTTGAACCCTGGTGGGTTGGGGATACCACTGTTCATCTAACTAACTCAACCACAGGTTGATTCGCCAAAATGTAGCAAAGTTGACATGGCAAACAAGTTTGAAAAAGTGGCACGGGTGACATCTTAATAAGCCTGGCAAAAACGGCATTATGGTAAAGCAACATGCAAATTGTAAATTGCGGCCACGGGAATGTTATATGTGACGTCCGA